AGACCAATAGACTTAGAATTCTTTAAGCAGACATTATTTTATATCTCTTTTAGAGAAGTAATGAAATGTTTTTAAAAAATTTGAAAAGTCAAAGATAATGCATTGTGATGTTAATAGTAATATACTTGTTGATGAAAGATTATTCATAATGAAAGTAATTACTTTCTTACATGTGAATATCGTGCTTGTGAACCTTGCAGTGTAAATCCATTTAGGCTTATTGGAGTTGGACTGACAGTCTGGACCTTGGCAACTGCCGGTTGTGGATTTTCGTTTAACTTCTGGTCAATTACAATATTCAGGATGTAAGTTAGAGTAACTCCCCCATTCCCCCACCCCTTCTCTTCCCCTTCTAATTGTTATGGGGTTTTCTTGTCGTCCTGCTTCCTTACTTTCCTTTCTTTCCTCCTAAATCAGGTTTGTAGGTGTTGGTGAAGCTTCTTTTATTAGTCTTGCCGCTCCATTCATTGATGATAATGCCCCAGTTGAGCAGGTTTGGCTCTTGTTTCTTTTCAGATATGTAACTCACTTTTGCTAGTGGGTGCAAACTTCTAAGAATAGCAGACATGACATTTTCTTTTGTATAAGAGTAGAAATTTTGCCCAGATTGGTCTTGTTTAGTTTTACTCTAAAATAGTGTTTAGATGGGTCTTCATTTAGCCAGATCTTTTTCTTTAATGTTATAGCTGAAATTTTCCCCTTATCAGAAAACAGCATGGCTGGGAATATTCTACATGTGCATTCCATCTGGGATTGCAGTTGGCTATGTCTATGGTGGATTGGTACGTATGCTATTTGCTGTTACTGAGTTTAAAGTTCTTTTGGAAAATATCTGTCTAATCGATTTGGTTCTAGAAGCTGCGTGCATAGTGTGCCTATGTTTGGATTGTGATTGCATTAAATCACATCTACTTTTCTATTCCCTTTAAAAAAAATCATTTCGCCTTTTTTTTTTTTTAATAATATAAGTATCTTCTTGAACCGCTATAACTGACAACTGTCACTCTCTTCTCATAGGTTGGATCTTATCTTACTTGGCATTGGGCATTTTGGATTGAAGCTTTATTGATGCTTCCTTTTGCTATTCTAGGTTTTGTAATGAAACCGTTGCAATTAAAAGGTGCATTTAGGTACATTTTGCTCTGACCGTGCTAGCATTTTCCGCCTATTTCTTACAATTAGTTTTGCAGGGTTCTCTCACGCTGGACCAGAAATGTCATTGATTTCTGTGGAGACTGCTTGCTTAGGAGATGAAGGTACGGCAAATCAATATTGATGTGCATGAGAATATGTTGGTCTGATAGGTGATATCAAACAATTGTCTAAACGCAAGTGGGGTTTTGCTAAGCATTTATTGCACTATACCCGATCTTTCTTCCTCTGTCCCATAGTACTCTCCCTTTCTATTTTGGGGCACCTTGTAAAATTGTCGTCAATTGAGTTAACTTTCTCGATATTTCTTCTCTTTACAATTATATATAATTTGTAAGTTAAACTAGAATATCCGTAAGGCCAAACCAGTTTATTGAAATCAAAGTGGATATATATATTATGTAGCTGTTACGGTGGAATTTGATTTAGAATTTTGTATCAAATGCAGTTACTTCGATTGGTAAAGATGGTTCCATTGAAGCCTCCAAAGCTTCCAGGTAATGAATTTTCCTAACCTTATGGAAGTATGGAACGTCTTCATGATTGAAGAAAGCTGCACAACCGCTACCTTTATGTCTAAAAATATTATTTAAGTTGAAAGCCATTGAGGCATTGACTATATCTCACAAAGGCATGTACGTTCTTTACTTCTCTACACCCATTTATGATTTATATTGATTTTTTTTAATTGTAGGTCAAGAGGTGCTGTGTATAATTCGGATCATCTCATGAGAGTTTTGCAAGATATGAAATCTCTTTTGGTTGAAAGGGTTTATGTTGTGAATGTGCTAGGTACGTTTTTCACCCTTGTCTTGACTCCTCTCTAGATGTGATACAAAACCCCCTCTCATATGGAAAAACCAATATGGCCAGCACTTTTGCCCCTTAATTGGGCCAGCCTGGTGCGAGCGGGGATTAGTCTGAGTCTGGTACAGGCTTAAAGGTGCCTCCTATAGTTAGGGCCTACTCAAGACATCTCATGGTCTAACCAAAAAAAAAAAGTTAATTCAAAATCTTGTGTTACAATAGAAATTCTCAAAGTTACCATGCTTAGTTCTATTTTTTTTTTTCTCTGTGAATTGCCTTTGCAGGATATATAGCGTATAATTTTGTAATAGGTGCATACTCTTATTGGGGACCAAAGGCTGGTTACAGCATATATCATATGGTAAGTTGTTGGACCGTTGGATGTAGTAGATAAGTTTTCAAATTTCAAGGTAGGAAAGCCACATTTTAATGTTTCGGATAAGACCTCTTCCATCTCTGAATTGTGGAAGAAATGTATAACGCCTCTTTCTGTCTTTATATTCATATTTTCATATATATACTGATATAGACGATTTAAGCTAATGCACTAAACTAAAGTCCTACTAAGTTGCATCCATTAGGCTACATAAATCTTATGTTCTCTGTATATTTGACTGTGTTTTTATCTACTAGTTGCTTTTCCGTTTGCAAAATAAAAAGGCAAGGAAAGAAATAGTTTCTCCGTAATTGATTTCTCATTTGGGTTTATTGCAGAGCAATGCAGATTTGCTCTTTGGAGGAGTTACAATTGTATGTGGAATATTTGGATCACTAGCCGGTGGCTATGTTTTGGATCTCATGAATTCTACACTAACTAATGCTTTCAAGGTAGATTCTCTTGCCATTGACCCCTTTTTTGTATCATTCTGAAGTTCTTTAGTTTTTTTCTTAATCCTACTTCAATTATTAATAAAACACTGGGATATGTCCAAAACTACATACTAATATTGGGTATATCTACCTGAAATCTGAAGTTTATCATATCCTCGTACAAGGGCAACTAACTTCTTTTGTTTTGTTGGATAACTATAAACATCAAACTGATGAAGTAGTGCTCTATTGCAGCTTCTGTCTGTTGCAACATTTTTCGGGGCGATATTTTGCTTTGCTGCCTTTTGCTTTAAAAGCCTATATGCTTTTATAGTTCTGTTTGCGATTGGAGAACTGCTCGTGTTTGCCACTCAGGTAAAACTTTTACATGTGCCTGTCATCATTTTCAAATCTTGCAATTTTGGCTTTTGTTGTTTAGTTTTGAGTATGATTAACATACATCTCACCCATTTCAGGGTCCCGTAAATTATGTCTGTCTACATAGCGTCAAGCCAAGTTTGAGACCATTATCCATGGCTATATCTACTGTCTCGATTCACATATTTGGAGACGTTCCTTCATCTCCTCTTGTCGGGGTTCTCCAGGTTCGTGATATATTCACGGGGACATATATATTCACGGGGTTCTTGATAAAGTGTGATACTATGTGATCATTACTATTTTCTGCAGGATCATATAAACGACTGGAGAATCAGCGCTTTGATCTTGACGTCTGTTCTGTTTCTGGCATCCGGAATATGGTTCATAGGTTAGTGCTGCAGTTCAGAATCCATTCTTTGATGAAAAAAAACAGCTTGAAATCATGATTTGATCTGCAAAACAGACTATTTCCGCTGTTATAATCGAAAATTGTTTTTTTTGCAGGGATCTTTCTTCACAGTGTTGACAGATTCAATGAAGATAGTGAGCATTCAATCCCCATACCTGATAGATCAAGCACAACACCACTCCTTGAGGAAAATAGTGTATCATCTGCATAGCCATATCTGCATTGCAGGAAGAACAGACAAGCAAACATGCTTTCAATGTTTATCACGTGTAAATACTGTTATTTTAGTGTTGTATTTGTTGATTATAGTGAGAACTGAGAAGAAGCTTACAAGATTCAAGCTATGGTTTCAACAGAAATACAACTTCCATTCATTTCATTGAGAAAAATAGTTCTACTGTGTATGTACATCTATGTATTATCAATAGGAAAATACTATGTGTACTCCCACTTTATACTCCCAACTTGTATTCCACACATGAAATCTTAATATAGACATTTGTATTGTGATCCACATGAAAAAATAGCTTTATCATATCACGGAATATAATTGAAGGACTGAGATTTGGGAGTACATGTAGTAGAACTTTGATCAATATGCAATTTATTTGCTCTTTTTTGGCTCACGAAAGTGTATATTGACTAAATCGCGCCTTCTCTAGTCTGTCTTGTGATCCTAATCGACAAAAAATTACAAAGAGATAAATTAGTTTAAATTGTCCACAGATTGGTTCAAACCAAAAAAGTTAATATGTCACTATTAAAAACTTGTAATAATCTTATTATTGTTAAATCATAGTTTTGATCAACTTAGTTGAAGTTGATCTCTAATTTACTACTTGTTTCATTATGTGAGTTTTACAAAAAGTATCTATATCAAGTATCTATATGTGAGCCTTCAAACATTTGTTAAAGAGTTAATTAGTCCCTCCAACTTTTTAAAGGTGCAATTACATCCATAAACAATGCATTTTGATGCAATGAAGCCCAAATACAGGTAATGACTTGTTATCATGGGTCATTGAAGATCCGGCTATTTTTCAGCGTATTTTCTGACAAAAAAGTGATTGACGGTCGCCGGTCACAGACTCCGGTAACCACCTTCTCCGGCGAGAAGGTGACCACAGTGGTCACCGGAGTCCGTGAATGGCGACCGTTCGACGGTCTTCAGTCACTTTTTTGTTTGAAAATACGTTGAAAAAATGACCGGATCTTCAATGACCTATGATAACAGGTCATTTACTTGTATTTAGGTTTCATTGCATCAAAATAAATTGTTTATGGGTGTTTGCACCTTTAAAAAGTTGGAGGGATTAATTGACTCTTTAGCAAATATTTGAAAGCTTATTTGACCATTTTTTCTTTTCTTAATTATTATTATTAGTTCAGATATCGAAGTGTCTAATCATAGCTCATATGACGTGGTTAACATGTGTCCGGTGTCCACGTAATGTGGATAGCGCGAGGAAAACTAGGTGGTTCGACAACTCGGATAAGAATCCACGTGCTAAACTACGTTCATAGAATCCGTCCAACATTCATTCAAACAGCGCCCACAGTTCTCTTCCAACCATCACCGTCGGTTTCTGAACTTTCTGCGCTTCCCGCACCTATAAATTACTGCGTTTTACTTCCCCAGATTGATTCTCCTACTACCCAGAACCTCTGTTTTACAGTTTTAAGGATAAAGATCAAAGCTTTCATGGCGCCAACTGCTGCAATGCTGCTACTGAACCACCATAGCAGACAGTCTCACCATCATCATCATCATCATTCCTCGTCGCCTCCAAATGTGACAGTGGCTCAAGTCAAGGCATCAGTGGAGAAATGGGTTTCAAATCTTAACGGCATCCTTCATCTCCAGCAAAGATCGGACGCGCCGGAAAAACAGCCCACACCGGATCGGAAAATGGAAAGCGCCGGAAAAGCAGCCCAGAATGGCTCCGGAGGAGGAGCCCACTAAACTCGAAAATGGAAAGCCAAGAAACAATGGGATTTTGGCTCTGAAAGTTTTTCTCAACTTTTTCAAAGAAAATGTATCTGTTAATAGTTTCATGTTATGCCATTTCATTTCATTTGTGACACTCCTTGAATGATAATTGAATATAAAGTACAGATTTGTTCATATGACAAAGATTTGCACCAAGAATGGAGATTTTATTGCGAAAAAAACGCCCCGTCTCAATTACAGGATTCAAGTTTATCTAGTGACAAGAATATGAGAACTAAGGATGGCATGAAAATAGGAAGTTTCCTGCAATGGTGCCAGGCAGAAGCACAGGGATTCAAACTCTCTAACCTGCAAATTAAACAAGTGAAAGCTCACCAGATGGAATGGATCTTTGGACAAGCTTAGCCCAAGATTCATTGGTTTCTGTAATGACCTTCAGTGCATAGTCCTATGATAGCAAAGGAAAATCAAACATAAGCAGGCAGCAATTAAGGAAAATTATATTATGGGCCGTCGAGAAACTGACAAACACAAGAATTGAAATGATGCATTACTTTCAATATAGTAGCTGATGACCAAGAAAACAAAGGAACCAAGTATTTTCCAGATAAACTCATTCCAAATGATGGAACATTCCCTCAAATCACGGGCTTAACATAGGACCAATTCAGTAATGTACCTTATTTGCTGGCTTGTTTCCAAGACCAAACTTGTTGGCAGGTTTTCCATCAGGGATCTTGTAATCTCGAAACCAATCCCTGATTGCCGTAAGTGTGCCCTGAAACATGAATGGGAAAAACGAATGCATTATTAGTATGAAAACAGTTGACATGTATTCAAGATACTCCCAAAATCTTACTCGGGTAATAGGAATAGAGAATACTCATAATGCTAATGGACCAATGCTCAGTCAAATGTGACCAAACACTTACCGGGAAATGTTTCTCAACATCTTGAACATCATTAACTAGTGAAGCTCTTGGGTCATCTAGTGAAATTGCAACAATCTTCCAGTCAAGTTCTCCTTCATCAATCATTGCTAATGCAGCTACAGGCTTCACTTTTAGAATCTCACCAATTTTGCCACGCTTTTCACCAATCTCAACAACATCGACTAAAAATAAAGAAACAATCACAGAATAAAGTCTGTATGCCTTAACATTTCCCCTTTTTTTTCATTGGAAGACCGAAGACGAAATATGAAGTGCATGAATTTACTCGGATATATGTTGAAAGAGATAAAGGTATACCTGGATCATTGTCTCCAAATGCACCATCAACTTCAGAGTTCGCAAATGAAGGGTCTTCCCATGTTTGAGGAAGCAATCCATAATTCCAGTGAATATTGTACCTAAGAAAAGGATGAGAAAGCACAACGTATTAATTAAATTGATTGCAGATTATAACAAGCAAGTTCACAAGATTGGAAGTTGGTACAATGAAGAAACCCCTATAAATCTGTGAAGCAATTCTACCAAATGTACAAAAATGTGCGAAGTTGCATATTTCATATTTGTTTATTATCCGATTGCTTTATTAAAGAAAGTTTCGAATTTTTCAAGATTGTGGGTGGTGTGGTAGTCTTACGGGTAATATCTAAGTTTCCCTTTTTTGGTATCCTGTTTAATGGGAGTATGTTGCTCATCAGTGGCAACCTCCATTTTCGCACTTGATTCTTTAGGAATTTCAACAATGAAATTGAAGACACCACCACCCAAGTGTAGCGGTACATCATGCCATGGGGACACCTGCATATCAAACAGAAAATATGCATCATAAAGGTAGAAAAGCACCCATAAATCCTCAAACATGTCAATAATAAGGCACCTATGCTTGAACTCATTTGCTCAAAGACTCAAAGAATGATACACATTTCTAACAATGGTGCTTTATTCGACTAGAAATCAGTGCTCCAAATCCATTGATGCTCAGAATTGCCTCAACACATGGCCAGTGTTGCAAAAATCTCGACTAGGCGCTGGCCAGCCGCCTAGTTTATCACCATAATCGGTGGTCTAGGTGGCAGGCTAGGCCGCCTAGACCTCATAAGTGCCGACTAGGCCAACTAGGTAGCCTAAGCAACAGATTAGCTATTGTTCCCTTCTTTTTTGAATGGATTATTTCACTCAAAACGACATCGTTACGAGCAAAATAATCCTAAATTGTTCAAACTCTAATGTTTTTTAGGTTAATATTTAATATTTTTCAACCATGCACATGGCTCAAGATGCAAAATAGAACCTCAAATCAAGATAGAACCCACTAACCCAGTAACTAAGATTCATTGCCAGTGAAGGGCCTCCCTGACAAAATGGGAAATAAGAATCCCATTTGCAAAAATCTCAACTTTCACACTTCACTTGCTTCTCATTTCAGTAACAAAACAATGGGGCAACAGAAAATAGAATAGTTATCCCAAAATCGAATCTTGGAAATAATGGTGAAACGAAACACAAGACAAAACAAATCAAAGCAATCAAAATCATCCAAATTTGATAGGGATTATACCGACCCTTTTGCCGGAATTGTCGACAAAGAAGACACGGTAATCGAGGGTCTCGGGCTGGCCTTCTTCTTTGATCTGAACCTGGGGATTGTAGATAGCCCTGCAAGTGAAGAGCCGCCTCTTCTGCGAGGGCGCGTTCTTGAAGCAGAGATTGAAAGCGTTGGGCCTTCTTAAAGGACCCCTGGAAAGCATGGAGGCAGTGACAGTGTTGCTCGCTGATACCATCGCTCTAGCGGCCGCCATTGCTGATCTTTGCTATGAATACACAAAAGCAGAACTATAACTCTATAAGAATGTTTATAGTGCAACTTCCACCACAATCCACCAGACCCGTTCGGATTGGTTTCGTTACTGCCACACTCACGGAATATACTGCATTATATTTCTTTTCCCCTTTATTTTATTTTTGTTAACTTTTGGAATACCAAATTTGCTTTTGTTTTTTGTATTTTTTTTTTTAAATCAAATAAACCCTAAAGTCTTAAACTTTACACCGGAGAGCAATTAAACTTTTTTCAAAAAATGTAATTGATCACTTGAATTTGTTAAAACGTATCAAATAAACCCTAAAGTCTTAAACTTTACACCGGATAGCAACTAAACTTTTTCAAAAATGTAATTAATCACTTGAGTTTGTTAAAATGTGCCAAATAAACTTTTTTTACCGGTAATTACTAGGAAATTACTATTGTTCACCATCGTTGATCGCCCCAATTCAAAAAAAAAAAACAAAAAACAAAAAACAAAAAACGACTTTACACTAGATCTCGAATCAATTTGTTAAAACTTAAATATTTCACATACCCGTTATAAATCTAAATTCAGTGAATTCTCGAGTAACTAAAGAAGGTAAACCTCATACCAAAAGGAAAACTTTTTATTTCACAATCTTGAAGTTCCATGGATAGCTGTTTAAGCCCTTTTCACCCATTGCAGGAGGCAAGTCCACAGGTTCAAAGCCATCACATTGCATTAGAATCACATTTATTTTCAGTTGGGAAACATTATTTTCGAATATCATATTTGCAGAACAATAAAACTTTTAAAGAAGATGAGAAAAGCAGACAAGCACAGCACACACTGCAGCAGCAATGGCTCCCCAGTCCTTGCAGCCAATGTTGAACAGGAACAACTATTTATCAACTTTGTTGTATCCCACTAGGCCATGTCTGGTTCTTCACTGGTTTAAGAATGTTTGAAACCGCTGATATGGTTTCCTCATCCTTTCCGAATATTGCAATTTCTGTTGCAGCTGCTACATTTTCTTCCACCTGATAACAACAGTCGGTGTTTAGTGTACTTTCGTAGAACATAGTTTCATATGAACAAGGGTGATTGCTTATAGGACTTATTACTAAACAAGATTGAAAGTTGCAATCTTTATACAACAAGGTCTGTGAATCATAGCTGGAATTCAATTCCAATTTTGCTACCAGTTAGCTTAAACAGCCTTCAAGTGGACGATGTCTAAATGCATTGTTTTCTAACAAACTTCGAAGCAGGCATATAAGCTCGGGACTTCTATAGGAAGAGTATGCAAACATTTACAAGATTACACAAAAAAATCAATTTTCTTTATGCCATCTACTTGTATTGTTATAACAAAATGAACTGGACAATATCACATTTTTGGTTATGTTTCTTTTATCTACTCTGGGGTCCATATTCATTTTCACATTCCTTCAAATAACATGGTTCCTTCAAGCAGGCAGGAAATAGAAGTTATCGACTTATCGGGCAAGAGTAGTTTAAATTTTAAGCCGTTTTCAATCAAGATGCAGAAAACATGACAAAGTTACAAATTTGCTTCAAGAACCGAAGTGTAGAGGTCAAGGTAAAAGAAGAAGTGTAACCTGTCCAACAGATATCATTCCAACTAGTATAGTAGAAATGTCTTTATTAGACAAGCTGTATTGCAGAGCTATCTTCGAGATATTCTTCCCCTTTTCTTTGCAAAAAGCAGCGGCAGCTTGGCATGCAGCCTGACAAGTAAACCATAAAGAGGATAGCGGGTGGAAATTTATAACTCAGATAACCAAGACAAGGCTACAGATAGAAGATTTGACAAAAAAGCCAGGAAAAAAAAAAAAAAAAACCTTGATTTCAGGTGATGCAGGGTGCCACTCTGGTGGTCCAATCTCGGTAAGGAGTCCCATTGCCAGAGGAGAAGCACTGATCACTCCCACACCCTTGCTCTTCAAGTAAGGCAATAGATCCTCCAACGTTGAATCATTTATGCTGTAGTGGCAATATGACAGAATTACATCAACTGTACCTGGAGGGACCCGATCAAGCACATAAGTGAAAATCTGCAACGGGAGTCCAGTTATACCAATGAAACGAATTTTCCCGGTTTCCTTTAATTTCAGGAGGGCAGGAAGTGTCTCGTTAACAATCTGTTCAAGAAACAAATAAACCCAATCCAAATTTCACATATCAGGAATAAGTATTACCAAAGATGCAGCTTATAATCACATTCATTATAATGAAACATAGTGCAAGGTTTTAGATCACAACCTAATGAAGAGAAAACTCTATCGAAAAACTGATTTAGAATATCCAATTCAAAATATTATAGTATAGTAAAACACTAACTTTCGAAAAGAGTTTATACATAAATCAAATGGCAAACATTCATGAACTAGATATTTGTGGTGGTAATCTCTATCAAAT